AGAACTTGAAACTAACAGTCCTACTTAACCTATCTCCTCTACATATTTCTATTACTAATCCAATTTTGTCTTCTTTCCAGATCAAATATCCTCCTTCTACATATTCACCAATCTGCCCATAAATGCCCCTTTTAAAGTATGAGATTCTGAATTGAAGGACATTTCAAGCCTGTTTGTTTTTCTCTACTTCAAATACGCCAGAATTTTCCATAGGTGTATTAAGCCTCTATGTATGTGACTATGTATTACCATAACACTTAGCTCGCATACCCACCCATGAACTTAGAGCAATAGAGTCTTGGATGTCGGGGCCATCTTCAACATTTTTTGTTGCAGCATTCTGAAATTATATCATCCTAATAGTGACTTCTAAGGAAGAAAAATAGGACTAACATTTTTTAAATGTTGAGAATCACAAATAAATTAAAGAAGCTATTAATGCTCACTGTTAATTTCTTCTCTTGAAATCCAACCTGGTATGCAAACATTAGACTTTTCTTTCCTTGAACTATGTATAAGCTGACAAGCCTCTCTCCGATAGCAAAAACTTGACTTTTTGATTTCATATTCTCCCTTATTTCTAACTCATTCTTTCCGTGGAATCTTAGGTAAACATTTTTTTTTTCATGGAGGCATCTTCTATATTATGGAAATCTGAACAATTGATAAAAAACATCCTTAAAGGCAATGATGGAAAATGACTTACTTAGAAAACATGTTAATACGTAATTTCTAAAGACGCAGTTCTGGCTGCAGCACTATCATTTGCTATATGAAGCTGCACAGGCTGAATTCACTGCTCTGAGATTCAGTTTATTCATCTAAAATGTCTTATCCGCATTATTCACCTAGTTGGGATTGTTTTGAACCCCAACTGAAGCTCAAACGTGTCAATACATCATAATGCTAAAGCACTTTTTAATTCTTGAAATTGTTCTTAATAAACAGTATAGATTTGAGTTGTTTAAACTGTTATAGAGTGAAAACTATATGTGTGTTTCACTAAAGGTTTGAGGAAAAAGATAATTTCAGTATTTCCCACTATCAAAGCCTCCCATTTCCGAAGGCATTTGGCTCAAAATATTGAAATTTCAAAAGTTGGGTGAAAACTTGGATCACTATTTTCTTATTTACATTGGTAGGGACCTCCCTTGTGGCTGCCACGCTGGTGGTGGAAGCCAAGGAGTTTTCCATGATTGCCTTTCATGTACATTTACTTGGCTCCCAAATATCTTACAGGCAGAATTTTCTTCTGTAGTTATATTAGATTACACTTAACTCTTATAATATCAAACCACAGCACTTTTTTTTATATTGGATGGACAGTAAGACAGATTTCTAATAGAATTTTACTTGACAATGACTAAGAATACTGATCAAAATTTATAAGCTTCCAGAAGTATTTTTAATTAAATTACACCTTTTAGTATGTTTTCTTTTCACTAGCTCTTAAATTCATGCTTAAAATTTTTAAAATTGATAACTAATGCCATTCCCCTGGATATTTTAAAAATTCTCAGTTACAAAGCAATGTTTAACAAATCAAAAATCAAGATTTTCATAAGTTTTTTAAATAAAATCCTGCATTCAACAAAGCCACTAAAAAATTTCGTTTGAAAAATCACAGCATCTAATTTCAGCCCTCTCAAATCACATATTCCTAACCACAACAGCCCTCAGAATGGTCAGGTATCCTCTGTTTAAATGCTACCAGAGGCTGAAAGTTTACAACACTGTGATATCCACTCCACTATTACATATTATTTATACTTCATCTTCTTTATATTTCGTCAAAACCCATTGAAAACTGCTTATTTTTCCTATTTCTATCCTGAAAGCTAGAATAAATGAGTCTTAGCTTTCATTTTAATAGTGTTTCTAAGTCTTGTTTTAAAATCTTAGTTTCAGATACATTTTTAGAAATCTACTATGACTCCAATAAAATGGAAATGCAAAATATTATTATCTTCCTACTTATGTTTTCATTGAACAAAATCATTGCTGGCTAATGAGTGGCTGGTACAATAAAGCCTTGGTTGAATTTCCAGCCCATGCTGGACACCCTGGGGTTCTCCTGCACTGCACTTATCACATGGGAATTTGTCTTTTCTTCTAGATGCCAGCTTCATGAAATCAAGAGTTTTGTCTATTGCATTCATTGTTATATCCTTAGTATGATGCCTGCATCAGAGTGACAAATATTTTTCAAATAATGATTAAATACATGCACGTATGATTGATTCATGGACATATGATTACATGCATAACTGAATACAAAAGTAAATAGACTCTGGAGTCTATGCATTATGAAGATACCAATTTTCACATTTCTACTTTAAAATCTATGCTACAAGAGCCTAAGAATTATTTTTTTCTGCTTTCTTTCTGGGACCTGGTCAGTAAATCTCAGTGTCCTTGGAGAGCAGGTTGTCCAAGGGCATGACTCTTTTCTTGGTTCTTATTTTCAGGTTTCTCATTAAGCTGTGAGAAGACAGTGTAAAATCCACAGATAGCCCTCAGAAGTGTCAAATATATAACCTAGTCCTCCAAGTGCCGTCAAAGAGGCATGTGGCTTACATTGTTGAATGTGGACGCAGCAGCCATGGTTGTGTACCCTCACGTGACTAAGACAGATATTTGCTAAACCTGATAGATTTTCAGAATCATGCTTGCCGTAATTCTATAAGATGATCAAGGTCAGTGGACATGTATATGTCCTTTAAGTAAAGGTATACCTGTCCCAGAGGGTAATTTCATTTTGATCTATTTTGAGCATAATATCTGGGGAAGATTTTTGCAGCTGTGTGACAAAATTATTGACAGTAGTAGGCAGAAAGTCCAGGGGCAGGACTGTTGCTTTGGCCCAAAAATTAGAGGGACAAGAGATGAAGGATGACTGGGACACAGAAAAGGGTAGGGTCCAAGTCGATCTGAGAGATCTGGCAGAGAAGGGCCTGTAGGACTTCTAATCAGCTGAGTATGAGATTCAGAGTGAAAGGAGTTGAGAGATTCAAAGGTGGTTCAATTAAGATGCAGGCAGAAGCCATTTTATATTAAATAAGTGTTAAAGATTAATCAGAAGGCTAATTTATTAGATGTTTTTCTGCTTCTTTTCCTAAAATGAACATAATTCATTTAAATAGAGCAATTAGTAGTTTTATTTGATGGTTATGATGAGCCCTTTTAACAAAGTCCCATTTTTAAATAGCATCATTGAATAAAATATCATGCTGTTCTCAGTGATTGCATTAGCTACTCCTTCTGGAAGGAAGACAAGCTGCTCAGACCCCATGCTACACTGAAGTTACTACACCTTCCTGGCAGTAGCCTGCCCTAATTAAATATCATTAGGCAACCTACTGAGTGTTAGTGTTACAAACAGCCTTGTAAAGTGGTGTAAGCATCACAGAGGAAAGAACTCTACTTTACTTGAAATCCAAACGTAGCATAGATAAGTCTTGGGGCTATGGTAGGTTTTATGCTTCAAGGAAGGCAACATAAACAATTACAGGAACTCTTGGTCATGAATTTTATGACACAGGTAATAGAAAATGGCAAGTGCAATTGTAGTAATGCCAAGACAGATCTAAGCCTAGCAATGGTGGAAACAAAAAAAAAAATGGAAATTCTCTGTTTAACCTGTCTTTGCCTATTGGTGTTCACTACACATGTACAAATGATCAGCATGCTTTTAAAATGTTTGCTCTTTTCTAAACCTATGCAATATACATGAATATAGTATACATACTTGTATGTGTATATAAATAAATGTCTACATATGTGTGTAAATGTATACGCATATATACATACATGCTTGTGCATGAATGGATGGAGTATTTCTGACATCATGTACAAGCAACAGTATTCATCAGCATTTATTTTTGGGAAGTGGGACACAACACCAGAACAAAGGGATGCCTTGACGGTGGATGTGATACTCATCTGTGGTATTAAAACATTTTATAAAAAGCATGTGCCATTTTTACAACTAAAAAACCCCTAAATATTATTAATAAAATTGACATGTAATAAAAATAAAGATGCTGTGTTATGTTTTTTAAGTCATGAATATTATGAGGGTTCTAGTAAATAAATAAATTTCAGATATTTGTTAGGCAAAGGGACTCTCACGAGGTCCAAATGAAAATGAAGTGATGTTGAGGAGCTCCTAGCGCAGGTAGATCTGCCAAAGCGGCCATTCTGAAAGGATATGGAGCAACAGGTATGTATGGCTTTCCATCAGTCATTACTAATTTCCATCACTGTCCATTTGCCAGCTAAATTCTGTTTCAAAACTTGCACTGGTCTTTGGTTATCACATCTACAGAGGAAACATAAACTCTGAAAGCAAAATTCCTGTCATGGTATTTATTTCATTCTTGGCTTACTAATCTTCTCTCTTATTCTTTATGAAGTCCTTGAATATGACTGTGTTCTATTTTGTTAAATGCACAATATTAAAATATAAGCTTGCAAAGATGACTACCTTTCAGGTTATAGAATGTTGTCTTTTAATAACTCTTCATTTTCCATTTCTCTATCAACCTCATCTAAAAATGGAATCTCGAAGCAGTCAGTGCCATGACACAAAGAAACAAACACAGAGGAGTCAGACAAGCTAGCTGCCTCTTCAGTGCCGTCTCAGTAAGCTTTGTAGAAATGATATTTCTATAGGTGCATATTTTTATCTCTGTTAAAGTTATGTGGCCCTTCAGACCAGGACTAGATCACTTACTTTTCTACTTCCTGATAGCCTATTAGTAGGGATACAGTATACTTAAGCTGAGATGGAAACTCCTAGACCATAAGGCCTTAGCTCTTTTTAAAGCCCAGGACCAATTTTTAAAACATGCTACAGGAGGTGGTTTAATGTTGAAGCCATTAAATGTGTGGTTATTCTGCTCACTTTAATTTGGAAATCCCAAGTCCTAGTGGTACTTGCTTTTTTCAAAGCGATATATCAAATATTGGTCTCCATGAATAACACAGGACTCTAAAGCTTTTTTTTTTTTTTTTTTGGTTTGAAACAATTTCTAAATTCATCAGGAATCTTATAGTACTAACTCATCATTTTCCATACCACAGATTTATGTCTTCAATAGGAGCTATTTAGAAATTGGCCCATAGCCACCTGTACCCTAAATTTTCTCTGGGCTACTTGGAAGTATTTACAGAGAAATGTGAGACAGTAGTTGATGAAAACAGAGTTCTTCATCCCAGCAGTAACAGCTAGATAACTGACTGGCCAAACATTTGGCCCAATCCAGGGAATGGAAGATGCCATTCAAAGCCAGATTCCAGTTTGCTTTAAGGATTATATTTCTGTCATCACATTTCCTTGACAGTCCCACCAACTAAAAATCCCCCAGCAAAAGCCCAGTGATTAAATTCTCCTGGAGCATATTTTTCCAGCTTCTGGAAACAATCTGCTGCAGTGTCTCCTGTAACATCCAAAGGATAGTTCCATTTCTGAGGCTGATATATGGAAGTTGATTACTCACAACCTAATCCATCCTCCCACCAACAATTTGATTTTGAAATGACTATGGAGAGACTGTGGTAATAAAATCCCCATCCACTGAAAGGCTGTTCCTATTTAATATAGCACATCATAGCCGTACTTTCAAAATGATGATATGTTACCGAAATGTGACTCAGATAAGCAAAATGTCACCATTAGACCTTTAAATTAAATGTAGAGACACTATCATTCATGGTCATATGTAGAAACATTAGGGAAGCACTATGCTGTGTCCAAGGACAAAATGAAAATAAGCTCAGGACACATCAGATTTCGCCAAAAGCAAAATCCTTGGACGCCCACTTTTATTTGTGACTTACCCCAAGTCAAGTAGATACTCGGACAGAAAGACAGACATTTTCTTTTGATATTTTAGGTATCACAGAGTCCCTAATAGAGGTACCTGTAAGTACCATTTGATCCGTGGCAGGTTTAGATGTTACAATTCTAACTATCCGACAGACATTTCTGGCTAGATTCCCATGGTAGTTTGCACTAAGGACTTTCTGAAAGGGGAAAATAAAGTAGATAAAATAATATATTAGACTACCCCATGCATAGAAAATGGGGTTATCAAGTACGACCTTTGGACCTGACAAATAATAGTTGAAGCATCCTTCTGAATGATCTGGGCATCCCATAAATCTGGCAGTGGAACTCATACAATAAACCTTTGTCCTTGGGTCAAGGATTACTTGTAGTAATAAAAACCAAAAACCTAAAAGAAAGACCTAAAACGGGGCTCCTCTCACCACTGTATCCAACAGTCTATAGTTATTAGCCTTTGTGCAACATCCCAATGACTGTTTTCTACTTCAGTGACATATGTTGACATATGTTGCTACTTTTGCTTTTGCTTTTGTTTTTTTCAAGTCAATTAGGGTGCTTTCTATTATCACTCAACAAAGTTTAGAAGTAAACATTGTTAGAGTGCTCCATATCCTGTAACCACAGTTCCCACACATGATTATCTCCTCTGCAATTTAAACAGCACTTAAAATTGAGTGGTTCTGCAGACTAGCTGTGGGCCTCTGTTTAATCCTTTGCTCATCTTCTATTGCAGCAAAAGGCAAAGATGGCTACACATAGGCAGTACGGAGCTGTACAGACAGCCCAAGCTGAACCAGTCCTGCATGGCTATTGGCTACAGCCCAGCAGCCTGGGCTGACCCCTGGGTTACCTCTCTGAGGTACCTCCAAGCACAGACATCTCCCATGCCACCTCACCATTCCTCAGAAATATAGCACACAAGTTGACATTATCCATGTGGCACTTCCCAGCTCCTATATAATGAAACGGAGGGTTGGGGGGTGGTGGGGACATGCAGAGAGAGTCACTAAATAGTCTTGATATATTTAGTCTTGGAAATGGAAGTGGTTTTACAGTTATATTTCTGCAGGACATTCAGAGGGTTTTAGAAGGCCTTCAGACAATCTTGTGGTCTTCCAAGACTGAATGTAAAGAGAAGAGATAATATATATTTTTTAAGTTAATGGGTAGTTACAGTAGAATTGTATGGTACAGGGAAAAAAAATCAATGCATGGGGGAGGATGGAGCAGTGCCGTTTATACGAACATCCTTTGAATCTTTAAAATAAATTATACAGGTGAACACAGAAGTTCATGCTACTTGCTGGAAGCAATAAGGATCAAATTTTGTGGAACTCGTACTGTACTCCACAAATCTCCAGGTATCCTGCCTCCTTCTCAATGGGCTATCATGTTCTGTTGCACATCTTGGTAGCCCTTAAAAACGAGTGGCATGGTCTCAGGTAGATTCTTCCAGGAGAGAGACAGATATATGAATTCCATCAGCTTCTTCCAGGGGAGCTGCCCGATCGCAGGGAGGGCAGATGTGATACGCTTGCTCACGTTCTCTTTGCCTGAATACCAGGGTCAAACAGCAGTTTCCAGGTCCTCATGGCCAATGACCTTATAGTTCTGACGGCTTTCTAGGTAAGCAGCCAAGTCTGGGTCCCCAGCCTGCTGTGCTCTCTCTTGAGGTGTCTTACCCTATACGTAAATAACGGAAAGAGAGAGAGAGAGAGAGAGAGAGAGAGAGAAAGAGAGAGAGAGACAAGTACTAGTTATGAAATACAAAAACAAAACAAAACAAAACAAAAACCACAGAAACAGAGCTACCCAAAGATACTTGCTAGTAAGGATCCTTTCACGTTTGGTGTTTTAGAATTTACAAGACACTTTCAAATCTGTTGTTTTATATGAGCATTAAATTGAACATGTGCGATTGGTAAATTAAAGGGAAAGAGTTTATCACTTTTGATGGGTGGGGTTTATACTAGGGAAATAGAAGTTCACAGAGGTTAACGGTACACAGGAGGAAACAGTGGGGTAAAGTGAGTTTTGAAACCCAGAGCCTTTCTGGAAGATAGGGAGATAGAAATTACTGAATTTTAAAAACACGGAGACAGGCATTTAGATTTCTAGTTTAAGACTCTTTCTATTATTCTAAACTTGGGAAATGAACATGCAGAAACTAAAAGGAAGGGATAGTCATAAAACATTTGAAAGGTTTCTTTGTTGGTTTCAGACTTCAGTGAAGTTCTCCCCAATTTATAGCTATTTCATCTCTCTGAAAACTAAGCTAGTTTCTCAATACAAAAGAGGTAGATATTGATTAAAGAAATCTTAGAAAACTTGAAAACCACAAAGAAGACAAGGAATATCCCTAATCATTCCACCAAACTAAGATAACCACTACTAACCTTCCATTGATAACTAGCTTTTGTCTTTTATACGCCTCTATACATATTTTTATTTAAAAAAAACCACAATTCATTTATGTACTGTTTTACAAACTTTCTTAGTAATATATCATAAATTTTTGTCATTAATTTTTTACATCAACATTTTAAATGGTCATATAATTTCTTACAGACTACTATAATGCCTTTTGTACATTTGTATAGACACATATACATACACATTTGTATATATATTGTTTTTTTAATGAGAAGTCATTAAATGAGTCATTAAATTTTTTTAATGAGAAGTCATTGAATAAGAAGTCAGCAGTAAAGGGAGAAAGGGTGTCCAGTCATTTGATCGCCTGTAGGAATTACTTAGCATCACTCAAAATTTCTAATTTTTGTTCAATATATAGTTTTAGCTATTTAAAATATTAAGTTCCAAAGGAAGGGTAGAGGCATGATCGTTGCACCAAAGAAATAGCTCCATGTACAAATGCATACAAGTTTTATAAATATTATCACAGACTTCTCAGCTTTCATCTCAGCTATCCCCATAGATACGGGTGACCTCAATCCAACTGGCTCTACATAGCCTACTGGGGATAGGATAAAAGGGAAGTAACAATGGCTCTAGAATCTTTCTAAAATTTTACTTATTTACTTGAGATTTAGCAGTTAACCACCAGTTTGAAGTTCCTATGATAATTTTTATTCAACTTGTTTGCAGCCTTAGTAGATAATCGTGTCTTTACTTCCATAATAATGAGGTTGGAATTTCCAGGTTTCAAATATTCAGAGAGGTGGCTGAGGTGGGCCTTTGAGTTGATTTCTAAGGAACTGATCTCTAATAGGAGAAATTCTCAGGATGCTGCTTCTCTCCAAAAAATTCCAGGAGAAGTTTCAGTTGTAATTATCACAGTCAACTTCAACCTGGCGTCAAGTTACAGAATGGCAAAATTTAAAAATCCTCAAAAAGTAATGAAGTATAGCTACATTATTTCATGTAGTAAGATCTCTAGAATATAACGTTGAGTAAAAGTTGTATGATATCATGTGTGTATGACTTCATGTAGTTAAAAACAGTGAGAGAGAAAAACAGGCATATCTACATGTGAAGAGGGATCATTAAAAGTTTAATTATATCTAGGTTCAGGTTGTGGGGTTTCCAGCAATTTTTGGCTTTTTGGAGCATATCTTCCTACATTACTAGTTTTCTATGTGAGGGGTTTATAATTATAAAAACAAGCTATTTCTTTAAAAAAAGAAAAACAGACATATACACAACACAAAATAGAAACAAGTTTCCATGAACATTGAGTGCTTTATCTGATTCAGAAACTTAGAAAGATAAAAAAGAAGATCTGCTCAAGAGCCAGGTCTCCTGACTCCTGTTCAGTCTGACCTTCTTTTTCATGGCTTCTCTCTGTCTTTAAAATGATCTGAGTTGAGTGTAGGACCAGCCTTTGTGTGGTAAAGAGGCAGTTGCCCTGCTGTGGTCTGAGTGGCTCCAGCAAGACCAACCCTACCCCATAACCTGGCTCCATTAATCCTGACTACAAGTCGTCTATTTCTCAATCAGGTTAAACATCCAAACATCTGAGTGCAAATAACATCTGGGAAGAATATCACATTGAGAAATTATTACTTTTAGTAGCAAAAACTGCAATAACTTTTGCACCAACCTAATTATCTGCCATTTGAAATAGTGTACCCAGTTAGCTAGCCAGACAGGTAACAGACCACTAGAAACCAGGACACAACTCAAGTGTGTTTGATACGCCTAGGCAGCCAGGGATTTCAGTCAGAGACCAAGGGTGCTCATGGGCTGCCAGGGAAGTAGAGACTTCTATGCAATACAACTGGCTCAGAAAGGAAAGAGGTTCACTTGGGAGGCAAAGGTATTTCATAAAGTGAACTGCAGATTGAGGAGGCCCCAGAGAAAAAATTACACATAGGCAGATTCTTATCACTTACATAAATCTAATGGAGCTTAAGCCATTAATTAGGTTTCTAAGTAATCTGTCTATGTGTCATGGTTACAATCATGGGCCCAAAACCTGAGCTACTCGGTACCTGCGTAATGAAGGCCTCAACTATATACTAAGATTCTTCTCTGTAAGTTTCTATAGTTAAGTGGTTCATTATTTCCTGGAGTCTACTGAGAGTGTTCTAAAACTCTCAGAGCTTATCAGAATCCTCTACGGCAAGCTTGTCCAAACCGCAGCCTGCAAGCCATATGCGGCCCACGACGACTTTGAATGAGGCTTAACACAAATTTGTAAACTTTCTGAAACATCACAAGAATTTTTTTGCAATTTTTATTTTTTTTCAGCTCATCAGCTATTGCTAGTGTTGGTGTATTTCATGTGTGGCCCAAGACAATTCTTCTTTTTCCAATGTGGCCCAGGGAAACCAAAAGACTGGACACCACTGCTCTATGGGGTTGATCTTCTATGTAAACTAACTCCTCTCTCTCTCTCTCTCTCTCTCTCTCTCTCTCTCTCTCTTCTATCTTATAGGCTGAGCCTTGGGTCAACTCTACTAAGCTACAACTCTTCCTTTCCTCTATCTTTCAACCCTTTCTCTTGGGTGCTCTCTGTAAACTGAAACAACTTGTGGTGCAGCCAGTTCTCAGTTCTTCTGAACAGAATTTCCCCTGAGGCCTCATCTCTGCCAGCTGATGCTATCAAGGTTGGCACACATGTCACATTACCCATTTCTGGCCTCACTGCCCTCTTATTAAGACAGTTATAAGAAAGTGGACACTGAAGTTCAGATTTACGTAACTTTTGCTGTGGAGAAACCAACCACATTTCTAGCCAAGTGCCACAGGAATCACTGTACCTCAATCAAACAGATTCCATAAACAAACCGATTTTGTTATGTGGCTAGTGTGTTCTGGCACCAAATGAGAACCACCAACCTGCTGAAACAACACTGGACTGGCATCAAAAGAGCTCAATTTAAGGCTCAGCTACTGGTCCAAGGGTATGTGTAACTTTCTCTAGGCTTTTAGCTCCTATAGCTATAAATGACAGTAATTCCCATGCTATCTAATTTCTGAGGTTAACTTTTACAGAATATTAGAAAACAAATGGAAAGAAATTTTTTTAAATGAAGAACTACATAAACATACCAGATTTAAGACTGTAACCATCTCAAAGCCAGAGCCCACCGTCCTGGGAGCTGGGAAATAATCCCTTTGGCACCCATATAAGGGGCCATATAAATCATAGAATTTAAACCACGCTGGAGTAAGTACTGAAGGAAAACCCCAAAGGGGCTTCTCAGTAGTCAGGCCAAAGTCTTTGAACATGGTCCCGACCTCTCTCCTTGGGCTTCAGACCTCAACTCCCACGACTTGGCTGCTAGCGTTCAGTAGGACAACCCCAATGTCCCAAGGCCAACGTGTTCAGAGGTTTATAAAGCCCCATAGGCAAGCACACGCCCTCCCTTTGTGCTTATACATTTAAATTACAGTTTCTCTAAATGAAGCACTCTATTTTTTCCTCCTTTTTCCAAAGCCCCAGGCACTTCCATAAGCACAGAAAGGATGTCCGTGCTATGGTCACAAGCAAAGGCAACAGTGCCTGCGATCTCGCCCAGTGGGAGGATGTTTGCACTCACTCATCGAGTTACCTTGGAGTCCGTCTTTCTCAGAGATGCTCCTGCATCCACCAGAAGCTGGCACACAGCCCGGTTCCGCTGGCAGGCAGCCTTGTGCAGTGCAGTCTCACCCCTAAATCAAAGAGGAAATGGGAAACCACCCATAAAGGGGTTGGAGGCAGCAGGGAATGGGGTGAGGGGAGCTGATGTCGGGGTGCTCCTCAGCCTCCTTCCCTATAGGCTACTGAGATCTTGGCTGTAGGGTACATTCTGGGGAGGTGGGAAAGGGGATTTCTAAAAATTCCTTGAGCTAGTCATCACCTGATCATAATATCTGACTCCAGCCCCCTTTCCAAACAGTGCTGATTAACTAGGTTTAGTAATTTTTTAAAGAAGCTACTACCATTTGATTTAGGTGATCGTCAATGCAGTATTAAACAGACTAATTGTCTAGATGTATCTGAACACTGAAGACATTCTCTCTGTGCATACATTTGAGTAGAGTGAGAAAGGCACTGGATGAAAGAACAGGGAGCAGCGTGGAGCGTCTCTGGCCCTTCAGGCACAGCACACGGCCCTTGGTTGATGGTCACTCGGCCTACAGTGGAGTATCTCCTGAGAACCCAAGTTCAAAACGCCAGGCCAACACCCACTCTGCTCTATCCACTTTAGATTCTGTGTGAGTGGCAGGTGGAAGGAGCGGGCAGCCACAGAGGATATCTGAGAGGCACAGTGAGACTCTGGGAGAGTTTGAGAGCCAGGGCTCTCCACAGGAGGCAGCAGGCTTGAGGCCAGCCACTCAGTGTGGGAAGGGGCAAGGGAAACTGGCTATTTCCCCATCACTGACAGGCTCTATAGGGAGGAGGGTATTCCTATCCTGAGCCCAAAGGCACCAAGATGCTTAATGCCAAAGTATTTCAGGAAAAATCAATAGCAGCCTTTAGAGAAGGCAAAAAGGGGTAAGTAATGGCACCACTTACAATCTTGCAAATAGGATGTGCTGGCATGTGGACCAGCTCTATAGAGTGATACACAGCTTCTTCCACAGCCCTACTGCTTTTCATTCATCCTCCATTCTATTCATTTCTACTTCTCCTCCTTCCCACGTGCTTAGCTACTCACCACCTCATTCCTCTCCACACCAATTCATCTTTATACCTTTTCAAATATGGCTTTCAGGATTAGTTGTACAGCCTAACTTTGTTCCTGTTTGGGGAGGAGTAACTATTTTGCTGCTTTAGTAATAAGGTTGAAAACAAACATTATCATCAGTTTAGACACCATCCCAGAGCTGATGACTTTTTCAATCAGCATCCCTTCTCTGAACCATAGAAGACAGAAGATAGAGTGACTATGTTCTTAGTTCTTCAGTGGTGGTTCATAACTTGTGCTGTTCTAGACTAACAGAGAGAAGTTATGTCACTACATGTGCATAATGCCTCAGGGCAGTAGGGTCCCATTTTCTCAGAAACTCCAGCTGAGAAAGAACAGATGTGATGGGTACATTAAAAGGTAAGTGTAATTATTTAGACTTCTCAGCATTCCAAGATGCACCAGTGCAGAAGTACATTGCTTGAAGCAAGCTCTAAATGATGATTAGCACTGACTATGGAGGCAAGCATTATGACAATTGTCATCAGTTTCTATTGTGTAATTTTTTATTTAGGCAATTAGCCCTGCACAGTTATAAACAAAGTTGAAAGTGGACTTTGAATTAAATTAAAATTACCTACAATATGCCCTATAGATTACATTCTTCTCCCAGATATGTTCTGAAGAAAATAACCTAGACTATGTAATAAAAGGCAACACTCACGTTTCACTGTCTGCCATATCCAATAACTCGGAAGGTCCTAAATAAGAAGAAAGCAAGATGACCATCAAAAAATAAGCTCAAAAACTAAATATTAACAGAAAATCTACAGTCACAAAATGAAAATGCCTTAGAAGGCTAAATTTGGGGATAGGAATAATAAGACAAAAACAAAAATAAAAGGATCCCTCTACCTCCTCATTACCAAACTCCCAGTCTCCATGAACCAATATGTACAGAATGGTAGATACAAAAGAATGGTATGGTCTCTGCTGTCAAGAAGCTTTCAATCAAGTTTACGAAATAAAACTGGAATAGAATAACTGAAAAATAATTAAGTGGCTAACTAGGGAGAAAGGGGCAGATCAGGTGCGGTTTAGGAATCAGGGCCATTTCTCATTCTCAAACAAGTTGCTTGGGATGGCATCTTATGAAGCATAATATTAAGGCTGTACGACATTATATATATCATCTAGGGTACAATTCCACTTGTTATAAAATTTCCCTTCTCAGACCAGAAAGAAATACTATGCATATACATCAAATGACTATAGATGCATCCTTAGGAATGGAAATATTCTGTGAATTTCCCTTTCACAATGTTTTATGTGTTCACGAATTAATCCATTCAGTCTACAAACGCTGCCTGGAATGTCCACCTTTCTAGCTCTGTACCACTGCTTCTCTCCCTGCCATCTCTTGCCCTCTTCAGCCTGTGGGTATCAGTTGAGACTTTTTTCCCCATAAAGCCCTTTACGATCCCACTTCAAACAGCTTATTAAACACCTGCCTATACAATCCCTCACTTTATGTACTGACCCTATTTCCTATAGTTGAATGGGTAATGGGATTTATCATACAAGTGGGGACCACCCCAGGCAAGGGGGGATATATGATCATGTTACTGATCATGACACTTAACAAACTACTTTAAAATAACCTACTGATTTATCTCTCCCTATAACTAGACTCCAGAAAACCCCTTAAAGTTTTGGCCCATGCTTTGTCTAGCATTGTGTCATTTCTTGGTGCCTACTATAGAGCCTGGAGATAAGTAGATGCTTAAATATTGCGTTGAATGGATGAATAAATATGCTTGTAAGTGTCAGGTATTGAGTATTTTAGTCTTTAGAAAGATGATCCTGGGGATTTGCTCTCTTTATTGGTGGATATCATTATTATTAAAAATTAACTTGTCGTGCATAGTAAGAAGGGGTGGAAGAGCTTATCACTCTCACCATGAAAGTCATTGGCCAAGGACAATATAACAGAGATGTTATGGGGTTTCATAATTCTCCTGGTCATCCAAATCATCTTGACCTCTTCTTTTTCATACCTGCTATTCACTGGGACCAGGTGAATCTTCTCTTACAAAGTCTCTCCTATTTGTCTTTTCTGTTTGTCCTATTTGACAAATAGACTTCCTAACAGGTATCTACCTGGAACATTATTAGCATGCAGAAGTAGTTACTAAGAAAGATAAGAAGGTCTTACATCATCTAGATTTCTAGGTTTCCAATACATCATATCTCCCGCTTACTTCCAAGTATTTAAACACTGGAGCTCACAGTCCTTCATCTGGAACTACATTTCCTCAATTTGTTCCCAGGGTTCCATTTTCTTTTTTCACAAAAGCTAAAGTGGTAACTGCACACTCAAGCATGTATTTTTCAGGCTTTCCCAGCTCTACCTACCCAGAATAGCCACCAGTCTAAATCTGACATGTTCTTCAAGGCTAGTCTGTGACAAGGTCCTCTCAAAAGATGACCTTTGACAGAGGGAATGTATTCTTTCTCTCAACTTCCAAAGCACTCATTTGGTTCTACCCTCATACTATGTATTCACTTTTTGAATACATGCCTTCCATAAACAAATTTTTCTGTATCTGTTGAATATAAGAACATCTCAGTTGTTTTTTGTATCCTTCTAGCACCTACCCTATATTAAGGAAACAACAAATATTTAACTCATGGCTCTTTGTTCCTTGGTCCTGTGATTCTAAGAAAACATGAATAATGATCCTCATCCTCCCACACACATCCCAAAAGTGCAGAGCAGGACAGGACAGTGACCAGGGGTGAGGTTTCTCGAGCCATCCCTTCTTGGTTAAAAATCCCAGCTCTACTACAGACTAGGTCTTGGCCAAGTCTAATTAATCTCTCAGCCCTTGGTTATCACACATGTAAAGTCAAATTAATAATAATATTTATCTCACAGGGTTGTTGTGAGAGTTCAAGAGGGCTGGGCATGGTGCCTCACACCTGTTATCCCTGCACTTTGGGATGCCAAGGTGGGTGGATCATTTGAGGTCAGGAGTTTGAGACCAGCCTGACCAACATGGTGAAACCCTGTCTCTACTGAAAATACAATAATTAGCCCGGCATGGTGGTGTGCGCCTGTAATCCTAGCTACTCAGCTGAGGCAGGAGAATCGCTTGATCCCGGGAGGCGGAGATTGCAGTGAGCTGAGAATGCGCCACTGCACTCCCACCTGGGCAACATCTCAAAAAATAAAAAATAAAAAAAGAGAAGAGTCAATACACATAGTGTGTTTGAAACAGTGCCTGGCACACCACAGGTACTGCTTCAACTTTAAATAGCATGAAGTGTCCTATTCTCTGTCCTGATACAGGTCACACTATGTCAAGATATGGGATCCTCACTGAAGGAAGGTGGTATGAAAGGGTTGTTTTACTCCCACTTACATGTGAAGCCACTTGTTGACTCAAATTCTATGTCCTGAGCACTAAGCACCTCAGGCCTATTTAGCTGCCAAGAGGGCACTCTTTACAACGTCAGCAAGGGGCTTAAGTGCCCAATGGTCCTCTTAAAGAGTACCTGTCACCTTCAGAGAACATTCTAAGCTGCTCCTCTTGAAAGAAATTCCATGAATATGAGCATCCTAGACTCATCAGTAGCTCTGTTCCCATTGGTACTGCTAATTGCACAACTATTTAGGCAACAGAGGCCTTGTTTACTTTTCTCCTTCATTCAGCACTGTCATTCAGTGCTCCCAGAGCCTTGTCACGGTGAGTCCACAGTCATCCAGGGTCTAAGGCTCTATGCAAGTGAGGGGATCCTCAAGCATTTTAATTGGACTAGCACAGCAATAATTTGACAATATGAAGGTGGGGACAAGGGAAAAAGCTGTTCTTCACAATTTGTGACCAGAATCACTACAAATGCAGCCAACCCAGAATTATTCCAGAGCTGATTATCCAGTCTGTGAGTCAGGCATGCCCGCGGCTACCCATCACTCTCCCTCCCTCTGCACCCTTTCATCCTCTGCAGCTGACAGAGGTGAGAGGCAGAGGTACTAATACCAAGGTAAGAAACTTTTGCTCTTAATTAATATCTTAAAAACAAAACAAAACAAAACAAAACAAAACAAAAAAAAACACGCCAATTAAAGATTTGGGGAATGGCTCTCAAATAATCAATTTAATTCACTTCATCTTTCCTTATTCTCCCATCAACATAGATGATCACAAAATAGCAGACCGTTTTGAACACTGGACAAGAGGAGGCAAAAGTAGCAACCAGCTGACTACAGAAGGGAATGGGCAGCTATTTTTAACAGCACAGGTACGTTTTCTAATCATTCGTGGCCTCCTTTAAGATGGCTGTTTGCATAATGCTAGCAAGGAAGGACTTACAGAGAGTGGATGCCAGGAGAGGCCTAAGACAAGGCTGTTCTTCTCCTTATTTGAACCTGCACTGCCCAACGGTGAGCTATGCTTTAACTGGAAAATGTGGAGTTTAACTGTACCCTGTGACTTTTAGTGTAGAAACAATAACACCTATGATTTTTGAAAAGTTAATTTGCGTCTCACTAATAAAGGAAAGGAGACGAAAGGAGAAAAACAAGAGAGAAAAAAAAATAAAGACTAGTCAGGCATGGTGGTTCACGTCTGTAATCCCAGCACTTTGGGACGGCCAGGTGGGAGGACTGTTTGAGTCTAGGAATTCAAGACCAGCCTAGGTAACATAGCGAGACCGCAGCTCTAAAAAAAAAGAAAAAAAAAATTAGCTGGGCGTGGTGGTACATGCCTGTAGTCCTAGCTGTTTCAGAGGCTAAGGAGGGAAGATTGCTTGAGACCAGGAGATCAAAGTTACAGTGAGTCATGACTGGACCACTGCACTCCAACCTGGGTGACAGGGTGAGATCCTGTCTCAAAAAAATAAAAATAAAGACAACTGAATTCCTTCAATGTACATGAATGGGCAACATTTGAGTTTGGGGCTTGTTTTATATACACATACATTCTGATTGCGGACACTATGCCATCTCCCCTAAGGAATTTCAAGGGAGACCATCAAGTTGTCAGCAGAGAATTCACTGTTGTTTCCTCAATAGAAAAGGAAATCTCAGGTCCCCGTCTCTTCCAGGGTTTACTGAAATGTCCCCCCTTCATCCTTTGGCTGACCTGAATCAGAAAAAATACTGTAAAATCCCTTTTGAGGAGATATGGGTGTAGATTTCTCCATGAAAATTTCAGATGAAAACGGCCACTGCTCTTCCAGAACGCTAGACCAGTTGTCACCTGAACTCTGTTTATGACATTCACATGGCACCACCCTGCATTGCGGTTGTTTATCCATGTTTCATTTCCCTTGCTGGTATTAGGAATATGGAGGACACAAACCATCTCTCACGTATGGATGAATTTTGGCAAGTAACCTAACTTCACTATGCTTCAGTTTTCAACACTTGTCAAATGGAGATGAGAGCTTACTATTAGGGTTGTAAAAATTAAATATGATAATGCATTTAGAACATTTAGAACAACAGAGGTTAACAGTGATTGTTACAGAAACTTTTTTTTCCTCACAAGTGCCTGGGACAGAATTAAAATGTTTTAATAAATGAATGAATAAAAGACATTTTAAAATCATTTTGGATCCCAGCCAATATCACTTTAAGAGAAAGATTCACAATTGAAACATGGATTCAAAAGACTGTGCTATATGGGAAATGGTCTGAAAATTAAGGGAAAGAAAATTCTGTTAAGTGGACATACACATCAGTATTCAGGAGACG